CTACCCCAAACCCCAAACCCCACGAGGGTCGCATGGCACATGAGATGGGGGAGAACAAGGTGAGGGGACAGTGGGCTGCGACTGCGAGCTACAGCCTGAAGCTAGAACAACTTCCTGTTCTTTGGCTTTAAGTCCCGTAAGAGTAAGGGGGTTATCGTTGGCTACTTGGTCTTGGTAGTCCGAGTCAAACAGGTGGTTATGGTGAACCAAAAGAGTCAGTTTTGGCATTGATTAAAAGCGTCCACTCACCAAGAAGGACTCGGGCGTGGTGAAGGTGACTGGTTCGCCGGCGCCCACCTCCTGGCACTGGAAGTCGAGGCGGCCCACCACGGAGATGAGCTTCTGCCCCGTGCGCGCCATCTCGATCAGGCTCAGCCTCATCGAGTCCGCCGAGAACTCCACCTGTGGGGAAGAGCGCATAGGAGAGCGTTCAGAAACAACCTCAAAAATCCGCTTGCTTCCCGTCCACTAAATGAGGATACTTTTGTTCACCTTTCTTAGGCAGCCCACAAAGTTGCTGTCCTGGCGCGAGCCCGGCAGAGCGGCCGTGTCGTCGCTGCCGCCCACGAACACCCTGGACGAGGCCAGGATGGTGACGGAGCCCGCCGTGTGTGAGCGGTCCGTGTACACACCGTCCACGTTCATCGTCACGTGGCAGAACGTCGTCACCGTCGATATCTGCAACACAAAAGGTCAGGTATAATTATGGATGTGTAGTAATTCAGGTGAGAGAAAACACTCGCGAATATTACTTAAGAATCCATCAGAAAAAGTTCTTGTCACTTTGACCACAGGGAGTGAAGTAGGACCTCTAGTGCAATGTTAATAAAAAACACACACAAAAACACCTACTATCGCATATGTGCGGGGTCCTTGGGTTCCTCCATCGTACTTAATTTTTATGCAATTGCATGTTTTGTGAGTGCTCCCCGCCCGCATACTGCTGCATGGTTTATTGTTACGGCTTGTTATTCACAAAACCCGACCCCGCCGCGCCCTTTCACCGCCCTGTTAGCCACGGGACTTTGGCGTGGGTTTGAAGGGAAAGGCGAGGGGGGGAGGGGAGAGGGAAATTTCGGCCCGATTCTGCGGGGTCGCTCTGAAACGCGATGAGGAAGTTAATAATCCCATCCCGACTGGCTCAGCCCTGACGCTGCGTGGCGTACCCACTTGGTGGAGCTAAAACAATTGCGACAAAGCTGCATGGGAGGCGAACGACGAGGTTATAGTCAGACGGGAAGAGTCGGAAGGAGGGGAGGGGGGCACGAGCAAGAAAAGTGGTTGGACAGAGAGCTGCCCTGGCGAAGGGAAGGGGTTGGAGGGAGGTGTCACCACGATATTGTCTTCTGCTCTGCGTGGGAACGCGCCGCCCGGCGCCGCCCCGCCAGCCCACGCCACGCGCGGCCCGTCCTGTTTTGCAACTTATAATGCCCCGTCAGGACCGTCACTCAGACCTCACAAACGGAATCCCTTCTGCCGCCGCCATCGCCAAAGTTGTGGCGCACTGTCTGTCTGGTAGCAAAGCCCCCCCAGGAAAAAAGAGGGTAAACTTTCTTAATTATGTTTACTTCTCGAGAGCAAAAAGATTCCGTTGTGTGGCGTGTACGCAAGCATGTGGACTGCAGAATAATTTTTCAACAGTCATACATTTTATTTTTCCATTTAGTTTTTAAATAAAATACCATTTATTCAAACAGTACTTTGTAGAAGATGAATAACAAGTGGATAAAATAGGAGGTGAATTGAGTTTTCTGTAGAAGCCCCGTGGAAAAGACCTCACGGCACGGTATTGTGGCGATATTGTGAATTAAGGATTCCGAGGGGGTGATGTATAGGGCAGGGGTTGGGGCCTCGAGGCAGGTCGGTGACTGATGGCGTTCTAGGTAGAGGAGGTCAGCTAGGATGGCCGACCTGAGAGAAAGAGCAGTGTCCAGTTGTGCGTCTGTGTGTGTTCGGCAGAGAGAGAGAGAGAGGGAGAGGAGGAGCGAGGAAGGAAGGGGTAGAGAGAGAGGGAGAGAGGAAGCGGGAGGGGAGAGGGGAGGAGGCGTGAAGGGGGCGCATGAGAACCAGGCATGAAAAATTCATAGCGTTGCCCTATGCAGACATGATGCCCGACGCGGCGCGGCAGGGAGGGATTTGGGGGGAGGGGGGTGGAGAGAGAGAGGGAGAGGGAGAGGGAGAGGGAGAGCGAGCGAGCGAGAGAGAGAGAGAGATATGCTCCCTCTTTGGACGGACGTGCCCTTGCTGTCCGTCGTTCGGACGGACGCCAGCCCTGGCCAGGGAGCTACGTGCCGCGGAGGGGTAGCGCCGGAGGCTGACAAGTTGCGCGGTCCATTCGTCAGGAGAAGGACGACCATGTAACACACACACACACACACACACACACACACACACACACATGCACGCGCGCACACACACACAGGCTCATGCATATATGTCGCGTGGGAGAATACCATCAGTTATTCATTGCCACGGTTCCCAACTAAAATTAGGGTCAGACTCGCCGTGCCGCGCGGTCACGCAATGAAAGAGAAACTCTGTAAAAACAAGAGAGAGGAGGTGGAGGTTGAGGGAAGGGGGGGGGGGGGTCGTGTCCGAGAGGGCACGCGGCGCCCGCAGGTCGGGTCTACGACCCAGACGTGCCGGCCCAGAGCGCCTGCGGATGGCGGGGTAGGCAGCCCTGCGGCCGGTCCGCGCGGCGCGCTGCCTACCGGGACGGGGGGTCTCTGGCGAGGTCTCTGGCCGCAGCGCTCACGGCCTGACCCGCCCGACCACTCGTCTTCGGGACTGCGGCCGGCGGGCCTCGCCCACGACCACAGCCGCCACAGCCTCCGCCACGGTGGAGCGGACTGCCCTCACTCTCGCTCTCCGTTTCGAGCAATGCGAATGAAGTCCTCGACGCGGTATAGTGCTCCTCTCCGCGTAGTATATCTTGTAATGGGAAAAATGTGTGGGTGGACGTGTAGGGTAAATAAAACGCGCTGCGTCCGTGCGTTGGTGTTTGGGCGAACACATTTCTTTTACAAATAACGCACTGTTAACTAGTTGGCGTCTTTTAACGTTGAATTATTGGCGTCCTCTGAAGAATACTAAATATCGGCGTTCTTCTTCTTTGAACAACATCCCCCGTCTTTTTGGCATTTGGCGACTTTGAATGCAAAATTATTGGTGGAAACTATTGACGCCAATAAGATTACAGTGCGACAACATGGACTCTAATTTTCTAATTTTCATGGAGGACGTTGCCGTATCGGGATAAAAGTTCACCAGCTTGTTTTTGCCACTCACTCGGCACGTGGAGGAAAGAGATGTGATCGACTGGAGCGACGACACGGTAGCAGCTGCTGCTGCTACTAGATGGGTCCGCTATTTACTCAGCGGAGTTTGCACTGTGACCTCCGTCCTCCGTACACTGGACCACCCAGCTGGGCCGGGGAAGAGGGTAAGGGGGGGGGGACCGATCTGAACCGAGCCATTATTTGCTCCAGGG